CCCCCCCCCCCCCCCCCCGAAGGGGTGGGCTTTGGTCCGGCAGTGTCCCAGGAGGGCAGGCAGTCTCCCCTCGGGGGCAGCAGTGCCTGAGCCGAGACCGGGGCCCAGGGGGGAGCTGCGCCCAGCAGGTTGGTGGGGAGCGGGAGAGCCAGCTGCCCGCGGGCCTGACGTGACCCGGCCTCTTGCCCCACAGGCCGGTTGGACCCTGCCAGCAGCTGCAGCCGCTCCCTGGCCAGGTACGTCCCTCAGGGTTGGGCTCGGGGCTCACGGGATGGGGGTGAAGGGGTCCCCCGGGCTCACGCACCTCCGCCCTGTCCACAGCCGGGCCGTGCAACGCAGCCTGGCCATCGTCCGGCAGGCAAGGCAGCGGCGGCGGAAGCAGCAGCAGGAATACTGCATGTACTACAACCGCTTCGGCAGGTGCAACCACGGCGAGCACTGTCCCTACATCCACGACCCCGACAAGGTGGCCGTGTGCACCAGGTGAGCCTCTGGGGCGGGCGCCGCAGGGGTCCCTGCCCACGCCAGCGCCCCTGACCCCGTTGCTCTCGTTTGCACAGGTTTCTCCGGGGCACGTGCAAGAAGACGGACGGGACGTGCCCCTTCTCCCACCACGTGTCCAAGGAGAAGGTGAGCCCCCCCCCCCCCCCCCCCCCCCCCCCCCCCCGCGCCCCCTGCAGGCACTGCCCCTGCCCACGGTTCTCGGCTCGGGAGCCGGCTGTGTGGCCACCGCTGCCACGTGCCCAGGAGCAGCGGCCTCCAGCCACCCCCCGGGGTGGGCGCCCGGCAGCCGGCTGAGGCAGGGTGTGCCGGAAGGAAGGGCAGAGGAGGACGGGGAGGTGCACCGCTGGGCCCCTCCGTCCCGGGCCCCTCCCCTCGGCCTCGGCCTCGGCCAGCACGGGGAACCCCTCTCAGCCCCCCACCCTGCTCTGGGGCCGCGGCAAGGCGAGGGGAGGCGGGGTCGGGCCGAGGCTGCTGCCGCTACAACAGCTTTTCCCCTTGAGGAACTTGAAGAGAATCAGCATTTTTCTCCCTAATAGAGCTTCGAAACTCTGTTGTGAGCAATTTGGAAATTCACGTCGAGTTTCAGGTTCATTAGCTCCGGCTCCGAAGCTGGCGCACATTCCGAGCTGTCTGATGTGGGCGCCCGCACGAGCGCCCTGAATTAATGTTATTGTTATTTGTGTGGACGTGGTGGGTGCAAACAAGGTTAATTGAAACGAGGATGCAGCTTCCTCTCGGTAACGGCCGTGCTGACAGCTAGGAGGGGCTCCGTTGGCTGTGAGAGTTGGCTTTATTATCCCTTTTTATTAGAGCTAATTTGGGCTCTATATCAAAAGCCACATTAAGGGAATTGTCTGCAGCCGCACCACCAGCAGCCCCAAACGGGCCGGCCCTTCTCCCCCGTGCGCTGCAGTTAAAAGACAATTAAAAATAAACTCTTGCACGTTAAATCACCCTTTGTTTCTTTGCTTTCTCCCTCATTCCCTCACTGGCCTCCCCTCTGCCCCCCCACCCCCCGAGGCTCCTGTGTGTGTGGGGCCCCTGGCAGGCCGGCGCCAGACCCCGGAGTGCCAGCCGGTGGAGACCCACTGGGGGCCGCCGGGGGCTGCGGTGGGGTGCGTGAGGGGCGGGTCCGACAGGAGAGGAGAGGAGGGGAGGGGAGGGGGTCCCAGAGAGACCCCCCGGAGGGTCAACAGGCCTGCCGAAGGTGGGGAGACCCCCTAGGGGGTGACCAGACGGCCCAGGAGGTGGTCCGGGGAGGGGCCCCAGAGAAGAGTTGCCTGGCAACTGCAGAGGTCAGGGTGGGCAAGATCAGAGACCCCTCCTTGCTGGCCCTCAGGCTTCGGTTTCCCCCTGTGGGGAGAAAGTGGGCCGCCTCTCTGTGTCCCAGGGGCCGGGGGGTGCTGGGCCACACGGGTCTGCCCGGGCTGCCCACTCCATACCCGCCCCGGGTCCCCCTGGGCTCACCTGCTGGTTTCCGGGGCACTGGAGCCAGGCCCCTTGCCAGGCCTCTGCGGCGCCAGCCTGTGGTCAGCGCAGCCCAGGCTGCTCCGGGGCACCTGCCTGCCTCCCCAGAGTCCCTCCACAGGCTTCCCTGGGTGGAGTCAGGCCTCCGGCCCACAGATGCTGCCAGGTGCCCAAGCAGTGGGGAAATCTGCTGGACCTTCCGGGCCCTGTCGGCCGCTGCTCTACCTAGAGCCCCCGTGCTCTGTCTCCCCCTGACCCTCCAGCCCCTGCGCTTTTAGACGCCTATCCCACCACGGCCCCACTGCCTGGAAACTGGGGCCGTCTCAGAGCAGGTGACAGGCTCAGGTGACAGCACATCTGGGCCCGAGCCGTCCTGCAGGCCTGGGGCCAGCCCCGCCTGGATATCCTCGCCTGTGCCCTGCCCCGGCGGCCTTGCCTTCTGGGGAAGCCGGGGGTCTGTCTGCCTTGAGGGCTGGCAGCCCCCAGCTGGCCTGGCCTCAGGTGCTGGCCGGCACTGCGTGTCCGTTTCTCCAGCCACGGTCTCCGCACGGCTCGTGCCTGGCCTCGGAGCCCCAGGCGGTCGGCCCTTCAGGGGGGACCCGCTGCCTTACCTGTAAGGGGGGGGGCAGGCGCCTCATGGAGGGCTGGACGGGGGGGCTCTGGTAGTACCGGGCAGACGGGGCCCGTCGCCCAGGGGCGCTGCAGGGGCCTGCGGGTCCTCACCACCTGCTCCCTCGGCCCCACAGATGCCCGTGTGCTCGTACTTCCTGAAGGGGATCTGCAGTAACAGCGACTGTCCGTACAGCCACGTCTACGTGTCCCGGAAGGCGGAGGTCTGCACGGACTTTCTCAAAGGCTACTGCCCACTGGGCGCAAAGGTGAGGGGCGCGGGAGGGTGGCCGGCAGCCCCCAGCCCCCAGCGGCGGACCAGCCACGCTCCTCCGAGCCTTCCTCGGAGCGCGTGGAACCCCAGGGTGGCGAGGGTAGAAGGGGCCAGTGTGAAGGGATGGGGGAACTGGGTCGCAAGGGCCACCCGCAGGCTGGCGCCTGCTTTGCCTCCTGTGTTCGGGCCCATCACTGCTGCTGCCCTCACCTGTCGGCGAGGGGCCGCTGTGCTGGGGCTCCCCGGCAGCTGAGCACCCCGGCTCCGTCCCGCTCTCCAGAAGGAGCCCCTCGTCATCTCTGTGGCCCGGGCCTGCCAGGGCAGCCGTGCCCTGGGCTGGGAACCCCAGGACGGGCCTCTCTGGCCCCTGGTGCCCCGAGAGGGAGCCTCCTCGCCAGTGCCGAGACCTGCAGTCTGGACTGGGGGGGGCACCGGAGCTGGGACTTCCTGGGGACCGCCGGTGGGCAGGGCAGCAGGACTGGGCCCGGGCAAGGGGAGCGCGCGTCAGTGCGTCTCACACCGCGGGGCCCGTGCCCCTTCCCTCCCCGCGTCCTCTCCCTCCCGCCGCAAGGCCAGGGCCCAGGCCGGGCCGGGCTTGGCAAACCTGGGGACCTGACCCGCAGCTGGTGGGTCACTTTGAAGGACGCCCAGAACCCTGGCGGAGAGGCCCCGCCCCATGGGGCGGGGCCTGGGAGCGGCTCAGACCAGGGCCGGGTGGGCTGGGGTGCAGTGGCAGGACCCCCGCGGAGGCTGTGCGCGATGACTGTAAGATATTCCGGTTTAAATGAAAGTATCAAAGTGATATTTAAGTTCTGCTGCCGTTAGTGGAAGTGCTTACTGTGTCCCTTTCGGCGTGTCGGTGCCGTGGCTGCCACATGATGGATAGCAGCTTGTAATTATATATGGGGGAAAGCGCTGAGCAGGCCAGATCCA